TCCCTCCTCCTCCTCCTCCTCCTCCTCCTGCTCCTCCTCCTCCTCCTGCTCCTCCTCCTCCTCCTCCTCCCTCCTCCTCTTCCTCCTCCTCCTCCGCCTCCTCCTCCTTGTGCCCAATGCGGCCCCGCGGTGCCCCTTGGTTGCCTCGACCGCAGCTTGTTGCCAAGCAGCTGCGATGAAATCTTTGGCTTTGCGTGTCGCTCCGCCAGTTCTGGCCCACCACGCTTCGGCGCGACGCGGTGTCCTCTTCCTGGTCCCCGAGCGTCGACTTCCTGAGCCTTTCCTCCCGCCCCGCGGAGCGGAGCGACGTGCCATCCACTCGCAAGGCACAGCGTGTCGTCGGGGCCGCCGCCGCGACGCGGCAAGCAGAACTGCCCGACAGTAATGAAGTTGACCAGGGTGGGGATGAGCAGGTTTTCGCAATGGGAGACACGTCGGCTGACGAGAAAGATGGGGAAGAGCAGGATGAGCATGAGTAGCAGGAGAAGGGCGCGGAAGGATGTGTCAGAAGCGACCTTGTGGTGGAGTGGCCCGGTGCCCCAGGTCTCGAAGTAGACCTGCATGCCCTGATTCACATGAACAAGATGACCTGCGTCACGGGATTCCTCCAGTTCCCCATTTGCGCGGGTATTCACCTGCTTGCCTTCTGGCTAATCAGTTTGGGCGGTGCCAACTTTGGTAGCGGCAAATGGAGCCTAGGTTACCTCGCCGTCGCTTGTGGCGCCTCGTCAACCATGATTGTAGTGAAAACGCTGTCTCACAAGATGGAGACAGACACTGGAGCTGGAAAGTTTACCCTGGGGATTCTTCTCTTCCAAGATTTCTGGGCGTTTCTGATGATTGCGGTCCAGGGCAATATCGAGGATCCAGTGTTCCTCGACATCTTGAAGGATTTCGCCTTCATGGGCGTGTTGATAAACGTCTCCTTCTTGTACGCTAAGTATGTCCTGCCGCCGATATTCCAAAGGGCATCTGGGTCCACAGAGCTCATGCTGGTGCTAGCTCTGGCCTGGTGCTTTTTTCTTTGTTGCGGAGCAGCGCTTCCTTTCATCAATCTTTCTATCGAGGTTGCCGCATTCATCGGTGGCGTATCAATGGCAACTTTCCCATTCAATGCAGAACTCAATTCGAAAATTAAGTACATCCGGGACTATTTCATCACGCTGTATTTCGTGGGGGTTGGCATGCAAATGATTTTGCCATCTGGCGAGATGCTCGTCTGCATCATTTGTGTTACTGTAGTGGTGCTTCTTACGCGTTGGGTTGGTATCTTTTTCGTTTCGATTGTCCAAGGCTCTGGCCCCCGTCTGGCCATTCTGGCCACGCTCAATCTCTCCCAGTGCAGTGAGTTTGGCCTCGTGCTCTGCACACTTGGTCGGAAACTCGGGCATATCGACGACGAAACAATGTCGATCGCGATTTGGGTATTTGCCGTTCTTGCGGGCTCTGCTTCGTACATCATCGGCTACAACCACAGCTTGTACCACGCATTCATGCATAAAAGCCGGGCCTTGCCGCAAGGTAGCCGCTTGAGGCGCGTCTTCGGTGGCGACGAAGGTCAGCTCGAAGATGACGAGGACAAGCTTGCGACAACTAGTCAGGGCATCGTAGCGGTAGCTCTTCCCCATCCTCGCGGCTGGGGCTCGAGCCGCGAGGATGACACGCTTAACTCAATGACCCTGCGTGAATACGCACGTGGCGCGGGCCGAAATTGCGGTGGATCTCCACCTTGCGGTTGCTGTGGTTGACGTGTTGGTGGAATGCGCCGATCTCGGCAGCTGAGGGGCCCTGGAGGGGCCCGCACCCCTCGCGGTCCTTGCCCTTCCCTCTGCGAGCAGCGCCGACGTCAAGAGTTTAGGCCCGCACACGTATGTATGTATGTATGTATGTATGTATGTATGTATGTATGTATGTATGTATGTATTTACGTACGTAAGTCTGTAACAATATATGTATATAAATGTAGATACTCACTTATGTGTACCTGCATGTATGTACATATTGAATGATATATGTATATAGATATATCGAGAAAGGTGCATGTGTGTATACACACATATCTATATACATATATATGTATCTGCCCCCCCAGCGATCCCCTTAGAGTTTTGATTTTACGAATATATTGTAGTGGCCGTCGGCCATTGCCACCGACCCTGGTCGCTTAGGGTGCCCCCCCAGACTGGGCGGCGACCATTCGCCGACAGACACGCACGCACACGCTCGCAGGCATTACGCGCACACGCGCACACCACACACACGCACACACACGACACACCCGCAGACACACACACACCACCACCACCACCACCACCACCACCACCACCACCACCACCACCACCACCACCACCACCACCACCACCACCACCACCACCACCACCACCACCACCACCACCACCCACCACCACCCACCACCACCACCACCACCACCACCACACCACCACCACCACCACCACCACCACCACCACCACCACCACCACCACCACCCACCACCACCACACACCACCACACCACCACCACCACCACACCACCACCACCACCACCACCACCACCACCACCACCACACCACCACCACCACCACCACCACCACCACACCACCACCACCCACCACCACCACCACCACCACCACCACCACCACCACCACCACCACCACCACCACCACCACCACACACACACGCGCGCCACCTTCGCAGGTACATACACATGCACACGCCCGCAACACACACACATACAGTCACACGCACACACACACACACCACGCACACCGCGCAAACTCACACCATACAACAGAGACGCATTTCACCGCCACCTTCGTCTCCCCCCCGATTTGTTCCCCGTTTTCCGCTCTGTCCCGTTCCACTTCTCTCTCCCTCTCTCCCCGATTCCCTCCTCGCGTACACGGACAAACACTGCCCCACGCACGCGCGCACCCCCCCTTCCCTCCTTCCCTGGCAGAGCCACCCCGGCACCCCCCCCAGAGGCTGAAGCTCAGCCTCGAGGCTGTAGCTGAGGCTCCTTCGAATTTGCGCGCCAGGGAACCCCCTTTCCCTTCTCCCCCACGCCATCGGAACCCACGCCACCAGACCCCCCCCCCTCTTCCCCCCATTCCCCTTGTCCACAGGCGGGACAAGGGACCGGACCCCCCCCCTCCACGCCACCGGAACCCACGCCACTGGACCCCCCCCTCCCCCTCCCCTGGCAGAGCCACCCCGGCCTCCGGACCCCCCTCCCCCCGTGTTCCCCCGATACTCCCTGTCCACAGGCGGGACGGGGAACCAGGCCCCCCCCCACGCCACCGGAACCCACGCCACCTCCCCCCCCCTCCCCCCCCCTTTTTTTTACCCCGGCATAGCCACCCCGGTCACCCCTTCCCTTGGAAATTCGCACGCCGGATCGGCGGATTCTTCCTCATCCTCATCCTCCTTTTTGATATTTTCCTCCTCTTCCTCCTCTCTCTCCCTCTCTCTGTCCTCCTCCTCGTCCTCCTTTTCCCCCCCTCCGCATTCGAACGGTCGGCTATCAGTGCATGCAGGATGCGGGAGGGCCCTAGTCCTTGCTGCCACTTGAGCTCGAGGGATCCCTTACCGCGCCCGCTTTTAGATACGCTTTTAGGCACGCGCCGCTTTACATGATACGCTCTGCATAGTGAAAAGTTGTTGTTCCATCCTGAACTCCTCATTTCTGGTTGGTAGCAGAGCTTCGGTTTCCTTCCACAGTCGCTGCCATGACCCACGTGGCACTCCCGCGCCCATGTTATGTTTGGCCAGCTCGCGGACCTGCCGCCATCAGGGCATTCGCCTGTGAGTGCAGCCTCAGATTTAAGAAAGCTGCTCGACGCAGCGTTCACATCTTCGGTGTTAGCGACAGGTCACGAGCTCCGTGTGACTGTGTTGCAGGAGCCCTGGGGGGAAGAGGCAACGGACACGACGCCTTCATTGCATCATCGTTTGGGTGTAGCCGAGGGTGCCGGGCAGTCCGGTGGTCCGACGTTCACATTTTTGTCGTTGGCGAAGCGTCCCGATCACATGGCGGCTGGGTTGCCATGGCGGGGCGAGACCCAGGCAGAGAAGAGCGGGAAAACCCAGGAGGGTCTGACGATTACGTTGTCAGCTTTCCGGGGGGCCGTGAAGCGGACTTCGGGAGTATTCGTCTTCGGCCTCCCGGAACATGACCCTCTCCTTTTCTTGCGCGTCCCCTGATCCTGAGCGGGCCTGGATCCCGATGCGGACTCTTCTTGGCCATCGTACCGCTGGCGGTACTCAGTGCAGTGACAACGTGACGCATCACGAGCGTTCGCATGCCTACGTTGTGGGATGCCCCGGGCGCCGATCGCGCCCCGACCGCGCGATGTTAAAACATGCCCATTACGTTGACGATGAAAAACGTACCCCGGACAGGTGCCCGCAACGGCTTTGAGGTTCTCTACCCGAACATCGCCGCTGGTGGGTGCCAGGATTTCAGCACTTCCTCGATGCGTGGATGGGGGCTCCGCCCTGGATGGAAGGCCGTCGGAGTGGGCGTGGTCGTTGCCTCCAGCTGCGTCGCCTTCGTGGACGTTGGCGGCGGTGATGGCGGCAAGATGCGGCACCTCCGCAATTGGGGGCTTTGGCAGCAAGTTCGCGTGCCCTTCGACGCGGGGCGCGGGAGGTCATGGTCTGGTCAGTTGCGAACTCCGGCTTCGACGAGTTCCGCCGAGCGGCCAACGTCTCGCCTCGCCTCGCCAGCATAGGGGCGCGAGCGCGTGGACGAGTAGCCGCCGGCTGTCCTGGACCACGGAGGTCGCATCAACTTTTGCCCGGCGCCGCCCATGACCTTCCTGATACGCAGTCCGGCATTTCGAAATATGGGGCCAGCTGGGCGAGGGGGGCCGCGCCCAAGCCGCATCGTCCCTGGTGAACTTCAACCGAACTTCAACCGTTTGCCGCCGGAGCGCATGGGCAACCTCGTCGCCAGGTTCGACATCCTCTGCGACGGGGCGCATCAGGCCGGCCAATTCATGACCGGTTACGAGCGTTTCAGTTACCTCTTGCTGCGCATGGTGGGCGTGTCGAACTTCCAACTCGCCATGGTATTGCAGCGCTACGGCATGGTACTCCGCGGACGTTCAGCAGCTGGCGCACGTGACGAGCCAGCTGCGACGGTTTGGGCGCATGGTCGAAGGCTCGCCGAGCAACCTCGCATCGGCTGTCAGCTCGGCCCCGCGCCGCGCGGCCCTCGCGGGTGCGCCCGCGAAAGATCAGGCTCAGAGTGTCTATGGCCTATGCCACTCTGGCCGGATCGAGCTGGGGTGGCATGGGCCCCGCCGGCCCGGCCCGGGGGCGGCGCCGAGCTGGCCTGCGGCGTCGCCGCCGACGCTTGCGCGGCAGCCGCAGCGCAGGCGGTGCGCCCAGCAGCAGGCATCGAGTCTGTGGGTCACGGCTTTAGTTTCGTCTGTCCAGCCGGCCAGCGACTTTATTTTCTTCTGCCCAACGGTCGCAGAGTAGACCTGATCGTTGAGGGCAAGATACCATACTAGACCCTATCTGGCAGAGAGGCGCTGGGTCAGTGGATGCGCGCGGTTGCCGCGGGGAAGCCCGCGACTCCCGAGCGGTGGTGTTGCGCGACGTCAGGCGCCAAGACATTTCTGGGCGACGTGGATTCTGCGGGAGGTCCTCCACCCCACTCCATTCAGAGTCGCGTAACGATAGGCTTGCGCACGCACGAGATGATTGGTAACCATGGCTACGCGGATGACAGGCCAACCTCGGCCGAGTGCCCATTTCCGTCCGCCATAGATTCCATGGATACAATCACTTATTTCTATTATTCGCTTGAGACAGCTCGTGAATGTGGTTGGGGCAAAACGCCCGCAGGCGTCATGAGTCTTGTAATGCCCCCCATCTGCTCCCAATCGCGACAGAGTCGTTGGTTGCGTGACATCAAGCCGCGGCTTAGCCGGGGGTTGCGCGGCTAAGTTTGAGAACGCCTGTTGGCATGGGGTCTCTGGAGTTTTGCCCTGCGACACGGGTCGCGGGCTAGATTCCATCGCGGTGGCCGCTGCGCCAAGCCAAAACGCGGATGCAGAAGAGGGTTCGGGCGGGGTTGACCTCGCGGACATCGACGTGCCGCCCGAGATCGACCCATATGGCGTTGAGGTTGAGGTGCCAGTCTCGGCGACTGAGCGACTCAGAAAGAACGCGGCCTCCCTTTCGCATTTGCTAACTCACGCTCCTAAGAACCCCTTTTGCTTGTTGTGTAACTGGGCACAGGACAGGAAAGTGCAGAGTGAGGGGCTGGGGGTACCGAGACCACGCGCGAATCCCACGACGTTCGGACACCTGACCACCGCGGATCTCTGGCTTGCGATGGATGACCAATCGCGGGGGCTCCGCGACGAGACCGCGTGCGCGACGTTTCGCGACCGGGCAGCAGATTTCATAGCAGCACAGGGTGCGCGCGACAAATCTGCGATTCACGTATGTAACTGTTTGATTAACCTCAGAGCTCCAGGAGAAAAGTTATAATATTGTTATACTGACGGTGCGAGAGAACATGCGCGCGCTGGTGAAGATTGCACATGACCCTGCCATCCCTGGTA